CATGACTTGAGTACCGGCTTCTTAATACACTACTCTGGATTTATCTAGTCCTCAGCATATCACAGAGGACCAAAGAAGGCTGAGGAGGGTGGTGACATCCTTAAGCCCAGCTGGGTCTTTGTTTCCTTGCTCTCATGTACTGGCTTTGCAAAGTAACCCAATTCCCATCCACAAACATTCCAGATGTACTGAAGGACTTTTCTACCATGAGATTTTGGGCTGGTGTGCCTGTTCGGCAGCCTGAGAAATTCAGAAGGGAGTTAAAAATTGTGATTTTTTTTTCCCCATATACATTGGGTGAAAGCCTGGACCATCTCGAGTCATGGGTAATTGTCAACTTTAAGTCTCTTCTGCCTAATGAATGGCATGCGCTTTTGTTTTTTTTCTACCCACAAAAGAAAAGGGAGGATACAAAAATGAAAAAAGCCCTCTTCTCTTTCCTTGAGGAAGCCCCTACCTTCAAGAGTGCCAAGATGTAAGAAGCCTATATGGCATGTTTACAGTCTTAAACGTTTCCCGCATCTCGGCGCCTTTATCACAGAGGCTACGGATTCACCCTCCAGCCGTCGCATCCCAGGGCAAATCCACCGACCCCGAGTCACCACCACGGGCTTAAGCGGGAAGCGCACGGCGCCGGGAGCCGCCGACTTTGCAAAGTGATGGGCAGCAGGGGACAACTTTTGGGCGTTAGGTGGCAGGGGTCGGCCACAGGCTGCGGCGGAGCAGCGGCGCGGGAGCCGGGCGCCTCGTCCTCCCGCCCACGCCCCCGCGGCGCCCAGCGCAGAAACCGGCTGGGGCCGGCCTCGCTCCCCGCAGGCGGCCGGCGCGGGGGACCCGCTGTGTCCACACTCGCACAGGTTGCCCGGCGCGGGCGGGACGCACCGGCCCCGCCGCCTTCCCCAGGGCATCCTCGCCCGGCGCGGCCGCGGCCCCGAACTCCGACCCCGCTCGGGCCCGGCCGCTCGCCCGCCGCCGCTCCGCGCCCGCCTCAGCAGCGCCGGCCTCGGGCTTTTGTTCGGCCGCGACGCGAGCGGCGAGCGCCGCCTGACGAGGGGCGGCCGGGCTGGAGCGGGCGCCTCGGCGCTCTCGGCTCGCCCCGCTCCTCCGCCGCCCTCCCCGCTCCCGGAGGAAGCGTCGGCCGCGGGAACTCACCTCACCGCCGGCCTCCCGGGCTCTCCCGGGCTTGCACCGCTGGCCCCGCAGGCGGCCGCGCGTCCCGCAGGTCCCCCGAGCGGCCGAGGACGGCCGGCGCGCCGAGCCTTCGCGAGCGTCGGGGCGCGCGGCCCGGGAATGAAGGTGCGCGCGCACGTGCCGCGCATGCGCGCTGCGCCCGGCCTCCCAGCCCGATCCCTAGCTGTGCGGTGCTGACCCCGCGCTTCGTTGTTCTCAGCTTGGCGTCCTAGGTGATGGTGACGCCTTGAGCTGTCGCGCGTCGGCTTAGAGGTTCCCGGCGCTGGAGGCGTTCATCACACGTGCCCGGTCCTCCTTACAAAGCCCTCCGGAGCCAAGCTCTCGGTGCGGGTCCTCTGACACCTGCTCTGAGAGCCCGTGTGCCAAACTCAGGACCCCGGAGGCCCGTCAGGAAGCGGGTCACCCGCGGCGGAGGTAGCAGGGAACACCCGGCCTCTTGCAACTCTTGCACTCTGAGCAGCGAAGCAGGTGCACGCTTTGCGTCCTTTCCACTGAGACCTTACTATAAACAGATGGAGCTTGTGCTGACTGGCGACATGCCTCATCTTCTGCTCCTTAGAGGACCGCCCCGCCCCCCCCTTTGCTACATCCACGACTTGAGAGCCGAAAGATTTTTTTAGAGGTCATCTAAACACTATTTTATTTTATTTTATTTTATTTTTCCCAGCAGGGAAAAAGAACGCTCAGGAAGGTTGGATATCTTAAAGCCACACAGCGTTTTAACAGAAGAGCCTGGATTCAATCAATCGTGATTGTTTTTACCTTTGCTACAGCATTTTACCTATCTTTCTCTTTTTCCATCTTCAACTTAAGAGTTGGTGGCATCATTTGGGTCTCTTGGTAGCCCACGGGCAAAATTGGTCCTGTTGCAAGTGAATGTACTTAATACTGCTGACCCATATGCTTTTAAATGGTTGAGATGATGACATATGGGCTGAAGATATGATTCTGTTGATAAAGCACTTGCTATACAAGCGGAAGAACACAGTTACATCCCCAGAACCCACAAAGATCCAGTCCTGAGAGGAGGCATTTGTAATCCCTGTGCTGGGAATGTGGAGACAGGGTGATTTCTGGGGCTAGCTGGTCACTCAGCCTAGGCCATTCAGTGAATCCCAGGCCAGGGAGAGCTTTGTCCCATAAAACAAAGTGGAGAGGAACTGGTGACTGCAGCTGTGGTTCACCTCTGTCCTATAGGGAAAGAGAGAGAGAGAGAGAGAGAGAGAGAGAATAATTTTTTCAGATAATGTAATGAATACTGAAGAGCCTTGTGCTTGGATCAGTCTCACATCAGAAGGTGGCCTTGATAGGCAAGTATAATAAATGGATTCTGAAACAACAATCTCCATTTTCCTTACTGACACGTGTGCAGCAACATTTTAAGGACAGTAATTTGAATCTCAGGGCCACTCCAGGCAAGTCAGCATGTCCCGGGGACCCAGTGGTGTCTCGATGAGCGTGAGTAAAGAGGCCAGTAAGCATATGGGGGAAACTTTGTGACAGATCTATGTATTACCCAATTCTCTTAGCTAAAGCACTGGAAATGTGCCTGCCAGGAGCCTTCTCATCCAGTGTACCCATCATGCTTTAAAAACAGACACATGCCATGCCATTGCTCACCTCAGGAGATGGGCATGACACAGACAAATTACAAACATGTCAACATGATCAAGCCTCATAAATATGATACTTAGCAGAAAAGGAAACTACAATATATATAAGGGGTGGTGCACCTTTAAAAGCTGGCAAGAATAAATCACTTATGAGTGAACATATATATCTAATGAAGCTATCAAAAAGGAACAAGAAGGCTGCACACAAATGGCTTTCTAGACATAGAGGGAGCATTGGGATCTGTTGAAAGAACTACATGCCTGGTAAATACACACACACAACACATGCACGCAGCAAATGACTGAAACATCTTTGTGGAGATACAGGCATTTGTTTTGAAAGTCTCTAAGCTTTTCTTTATGTGTGATATGTTCCACAGGGAAGTAATGTCAGAGTATCACAGACACTGGGTTATATGTGCATGCTCCCTAGGAACATAGTGGGAACGGGGTGACTCACAACAAACAGTAGGAACGGGGTGACTCATTCCTTTGGGGGAACAGTCAGTTGGAGGAGCTGTAGGACATGAGGAGACCCAGAAGGTACTGTCAAGAACAGAGATGAGAGTGATCTGTGAGGAATAAAAACATTCAAATCCCACGGGGATAACTCCAGATGCTTTCTGTGTCCCATCTCCCTTTCCTCCCATGTTGTAACCACTAATAGAAAGCTTTTTTAATAAGCGGGAACTTCACAGAGAGACTCAGCCACCTAGGCATTGTTAAAACTGGTCCCTTCCTGGACGAACCCGTTCTTTGAAACCATAAATGTTAACTGGTAATGCATGGTAATTTAGTATGACATCTCTACCTGCCTCCCCAGGCCACCCCCTCACATCCCCAAAGGCTTTGTTTATTCAGTTATGTACAAGCTGGTCATTTGGAAAAACCACTAGGTTGGAATCCAGATAACCTAGGTTCTAATTTTAGTTTGGCCACTTACTGATCCATTGTTAGCTTAGGAAAATCACCAACCTCCATGAGATCCACTTTCCCCTTTTCATTTAAATACACAAATGCTGCCTATTTTAAAATTATGAAACATAAGTCTGGCATGATGGCTGGGTGGGTAAAGGCATTTGCTGCCAGAGCCTTAGCACCTGAGTTTGAGCCCTGGACCTATGCAGTGAACCAACTCCCGAAAGGTGCTTCCCCACCTCCTTTACACATAGACACACACAAATAAATAAATGTGAACTTAAGGCTACACTATTAAAAAGCGAAAATAGTGAAACGTGTAAGATTTGCAGGACTGCCTAAGTTGGAGGAGAGCCCATTGTTTTGACAAGCCAAGAAAGCAGGAAAGTTGTTTTTGTTTCTGTTTTAGGTTCTGGGGTTAATTTTTATGGTTAGCTGGTGCTCATCAAAATGGCTTTGCGCTTTGGATGCAGGCATGGAATTTCAACTCCCTGAAATTCTCCAGACCTTGCTCTCACAGCTACCAGAGCCCTCCTGAGCTTAATGTTGGTTACTTGCACATTGCTCGTTCAGTTTCTCTCATTGGATTTCTCAGGTGTTTTAGAGTGGTTTGGAGCCTAGGCTGCTCTCCAACTCCCTATGTAGCCAAACCTCTCCTGCCTCCACCTCCTGAGTGCTAGGATTACAGATTTGAGCCGCCACGCCCGGCTTCATATTTCTTTTTTCTTTCTCTTTTTAATCCTTGCATTCTCTGGTTCTCACTGCAAGGTGGGTGCTCAGTACATTTAACTAATTAAATGTGACTGGGTTTTAAGACCTAAATTCGGAGTTATTCTTACAACGGCGTGCCATCTGCTGGTTCCCTGGTGTATCTGTCACTCAGCTTGGGGCAGTCCCCCCCCCCCCCCCACGACCTCCCTTTTCCTCTGCAGGTGCTCTTCTTTCATCCTACCGATTGCAAACTTGTATTTCCTCCTGCCCTCTTCCACCGTCTTAAAACCCGGCACAACGGAGTTTGCGTTTTGGAGCGCCCAGAGTGACCAGAGCAACATAACTGGGCATGCTCAGTAGGGAAGGGCTGTTTTGGAACACAAACGCAGCAAGTCTTGAAGGAAGATTTTTCAAGGCGGCTGGTTTCGGGATTGGATACAGCTTCCTCCCAGCATTCTATCAAGATGTTACGGCTCCTCCCACTCACCCGACAGCCACACTTTCTCCTTTTATCGCTGTGCTCAGTTTTTGGAGCCAGCCCTCCTCGGATGCCCTGGCCAATCAAGAAACCACACACTGTTGCCTAAGAGACCCCGGATGCCAGCGACAGGATTTATAGATGGTGATTGGACTGCTGGAAGCGGTGAGGTGGGGGCTGGAAGGAGCTGAAGAAAGCTGTCCTAGTGGAACGATGGCAACCCCAGAGCCAGAGGCTTGAAAAGGAGGCGAGCCGCTGAGGTGAGAACAGTGGGTAGGGCAGGAAAAAGATGGAGATTCTGAGAGAGCGCCCTAGCTTCCCACAGGCTTGCCGGGGCTCTGGGGATTGCAGTCTGCTGCAGTGGCTGCTTCACACCTAAGAAATTATCAACCAACAATTAAGTGCAGGTCAAATGTTAGCTTTTAAAACCATGCATTACAGTGCTTACTTAGTTTTTAGCTGGTTGACTATAAGGTGAATTCGTACTTAAATCTACCCATCCTCTATTTCTGATACTATGTGAGATTCCCCTTGTCTGGCGATATCACAGTGTACTGTGGGTGAATTGTGTGTTGGCCTAGAAACACAATCTTAGTCTTCGTTGTAACCTCCAAATAAAACCCTGTCAACACTGAGTGTATCCACTGTGCCAGGTTCATCATGTTCTGAGTTTCAGCGTGCACTCCCACAAGGTTTAATTCTCAGATTTCCCCTCCCCCTGCCTCACCATGACATTTCTTCCTTCCACTGGATAACACATTCTTATCGAGCACCGAGCATGTACATCTGATTGGAATTGTACATGTGTACATGTGATTGGAATTGAGATAGGCAGTGTCAGAAGAACACGTGAGCCCAAAAGTATCAGGGTTTCATGCCACTGTCCTTACCGTGGGCAGGTTGTCAGTGGATTTGGACACAGTACAGGAAAAGACAGAACCAGGCTGAAATAGTTACGGTGAGGTGACCCAGACCTCAGAGTGTCGAGGAATTGGAATGCCACAGTCATTAATGAAACGAAAAGGTTTTTGAGTTGAAAAAGTGATTTCACTGTCTGGTCATCTAAAAACAGACAAACAAAACAGTTGGGCGGGGCAGCACAGGCACTGGGAGGTAGAAGCAGGTGGATCCTTGTTAGTTTAAGGCTAGCCTGGTCTACATAGCAGGTTCCAGCCCAACCAGGGATATAAGGCAGGACTCTTTCTCAAAACAAAAACAAAATCAAGACAAGGCAAACCAAATCTTAGGGCTGCGACTATAGTTCCATTGGTAAAATGGAACTATATCTGGCATGCATGAAGCAGGAATCCAGCACTGTGTGTGGTGAGCACCTGAAACCCGAAACTTGGGAGGTGCAGGCAAGAGGATCAGAAGTTTAAGGTCATCCTTGGCTGCACAAGCAGGCTTGAGGCCTGCCTGGAATAGATCCTTAGTAAAATTATCGTGTAGTGCTGATGGCGTGAACAATGGCTGAGAAGATTTAGAAGGCCAGACCAGAAGTGTGAGACCACTGGGACCCCCGCTTGGCTGTTGAACATGAGCCCGAAGCCATATGTAGGGGATGAGGGCACTGGGCCTTCTTTCTACAGTTTTGTCCCAAGGAACATGAAACATAATGACAGTCAGTCATTAAAAGGAAAAGAAGTCATGAATGTACCTGCAGCTTGTATCTGTGGAAGAAGGTGAGATAATCTGTTTTGTCTTGGCAGACAGGGTGCAATTGTTTCTTGTGTGTGCTGTGTGAAAACGTCTGTGTTTCGAACAGTAGCCAGTGGTCTCCTCTGTGAACTTGTGTATGCACACAAGTTCATCTTCTGGGACTGAGGGAGGAGGGGAAAAAAAGCCGAAAAAGGATAATCACAAAAGACAGGCGAGACACCCCCATCGGCATGCTTCTGCATGATTGTCACCAAGAGCTGGCTGTGCCTCCTGGCCAAGCCCACCTCCTGGGAACCACAGCTGCTTTGAAGAGAGCCTAATCCAAAGTGGTTTTCAGACCTGAGGAACCAGGAGGAGAAAAACAGCCTGTGCAGACCCTGAGGGTGTCTTGAGAAAAGCTACTTTATCTTCATTCAGAAATGGTACCCAGAATACATCAAATGGCTTTCCACATACCGAGAAGCAAGCAAGCTCCCCAGCTTAATGCAGAGATTTTTAACCTGGGGGAAGCAGCATTTTAGTTTCCTATGTATTTTTCTAGGAAGAGAGTCAAAGCTTTTGTCACAGAGGCTGTATGACTCTCAAAGATTTCTAAAATAGCAATTGTCTTAACAGAAGAAGGAGGTCTGGGCGTGGGGACAAACCCCAGTAATCCCAGCACTGGGAAGATTGAGGACAGGGATGAGTTTGACTTTGAGGGCAGCCTGGACTGCACAGTAAGACCCTGTCTCAAAATGAAACAATAACAAGCAGTATACAATTTTTAGCTGGACAGATACGATCTTGGTGGCAGGCTTTGTAGCCATAGTTGGCCTGCTCGCCTGTGCCTGTGTTTCTGGCTGGTAGTTAATGATGCTGCAATGAAACCCAATTCCTATGCCTTTTGTAACCTAGCTGAAAATGTAGTGTGCCACTTAAGGCAGGTACTGACACTACTTTCTATTATAGAATATTCCATTATGGCCTCCCAAAGGACAGGTTTGGAACACTCTATAGCTGACAAGTTCTAAGAAAGACTGAAGGAGGTTACTAGTTACTCAGGCCTCCTCCCCACCAGCTACCTTGTCAAGACTTTTTTTCTCTCTTATCTTCCAAACGTCATTTTGAAGGTATATAAACATAGGATTAAAAAAAAAAAAAAAAAAGAAAGAAAGAAAACTGCACAAAGTGGGGCTGGAGAGATGGCTCAGAAGTTAAGATATTTGTTGTTCTTGTACAGGACCCAGGTTCAATTCCCAGCCTTCACATGATGGTTTACAACCATCTGTGACTCCAGTTCCAGAGGATCCAATGCCCTATTCTGACCATACATACATGCAGGCAAAACACTCACACACACACACAAAAAAAAATAATACATCAAAGAAAAAAAAAACAAATATAATAATAAATAAAAAAAGAAACAGAACTAGTATTTTAAAAACTTCAAAGGTTGCAAAAAATAGAAACAGTGTCTCTCTAAGAAATGCAGAAGAGGAAAAGGGCATGCAGCTTCTAAGGGACAGAAGAGCAAGGCCAGCACTGCAGTCTGCTCAGGTAACAATTGTTACCCTCGGTGACCACCTCATGCAGAAAAAGGTAAGCCAGGAGCAGTCCATCTGTAATTTGATCCAATCACCCACCACCTGTTGCCTAGAGAGGGACTACTCCTGGCCCCCAAATGAAGATGGAAACCAGCAACTGGACACCTCTAAAATCAGCCAGCCAACCAGCAGACTCCACACCAGTGAGGGAAAATAATTCCTCATGGAAATTAAGCTTTCATTAAAAGTTGGCAGACTGTATACCAGATAACCAAAACTAGCAGATTTCTCCCCAATAAACACATCTGTCCTTCTCCAAAGCCATGGCCTTGACCACTACATGTCTGCTCCTTGAGTATGTCTTAGGCTGGAACTCTTTTATGCTGGGACTAGAGGAGGAGAGTTAATGACACAAGGACAACAATTAGGTGTTTGTTTTGAGACTGGATGTCATTGTGTAGCCATGGTTGACCTAGAAATCTCTTTGAAGACCAATATGGGCCTTACATTCAAAGAGATTCACCTACCTCTGACTCCTAAATGTTGAGGTGAAGGGTGTTATGTTGTACTGTGACTCTAAATTTGAAGCCAGTAGAGAGCTCAGAATGACTCTGAGCTTCCACCATGGTCCAGTGGTCTGATTCCCGTTCCACTCACAGTCTATATGATCTTGGGCAGGGCGTGTCACTTCAGTGAGCCTCACTTTCTTCAGTGATCTAAGGAACTACACCACAGCCTCACCACTAGCTCACTGTAAACTTGCATTGAACATACATGTGAAGTCTTTGACATAAACGAGGTTCTCAATAAATATTCTGTCCACTCATACCTCATGTATTTGTTTCTCAGAAGATTCAGTGATTCATTTCTCCTGATAGGTGTAGTCTTTTTATGGAAAATACCAGGTCATTTCGTGATGGCGTTTGCACCTCCAAAAAGCATCGATGGCCCCAAAATGCAGACAAAGATGAGCACCTGGACACCTCTAAACCATCAGCTTCTGAATGACCAGGTGAGTGGTCAGAGGTACTTTATCATTTGGGTCCTTGGGGGGGTGGGAGGAGTAAAATTCTGATAATCAGAATATGAACAGGAATTGTTTAAGATGGCACAATCTATGAGCAAAAGACAAAACAAGAGGTTTATTTAAAACAACAGCTTTATTTGTGTCCTCGCTATGTGGCCAAGACTGAAAATAGATCAGAAAGGGAAGAGTTGTTATTTGCTGTATTGTCTGCCCCAGGTGTCTTCTTTTTCCCATCACTGGTTCTCCTTGGAGCCAACAGAATTTGGGGAGGGGAGGAAAGATGTCTAGGAGAGATTTCTTAAAAAGTTGAGGTCATTAAGCACTAAGCAAATACATCTCAGCCAAGTACTCGTGATAGTGGGGTACTCCTGGGAAGAAGTCTACTTCCCAGCTGAATTCTGGGGAGACACAAGTCAAATACACCCGAGAAAGGGTTGCAGCAAGTGGCTGGAGTGTGAGAACGGCAGGCCTCTGGGGTATTGTACTCCTGTTTCTATGAGTTGCCGAACTCTGTGATCAGTCCCCGAATATCAGGACCACATCACCCTGCCAAGGAAACACAGTCATTTTCGCGGCGTAAAAGTGACCTCACCATCTTCCCTCTCCACCACAGTCCTTCTGCCAGGAGAAAAGCCCCACTTTATACCGTCCTGAGGCCAGAAAATCCCCTTTGTTTTAATCCCCTGTCGGATGTGGGATTTGATCCTTCACCCCAATAGGTTAATAGGTGAGTCTGTTGGCAGTGGAACAAAAGACAGTACTGTTTCACCATTGTAAAGGACACAAGGATTTGGACAGGGACAAAGAACTTCCGCTGGCAGCAGAGCTGTCTTTGAAGCTTCGGCCTCAAGCCTAAACACTAGTTCTGCTGGTCGACGTTGACCTGCCGAGTGACGCGGATCACATCACACGGTGGGTTTCCCGGCAGCTGAAGAGCAGAGAGCTCAGGGAATCTGTACTACACGGTAAGCAGTGACTGTACAACCCTCCTCCCTCTAGGCTGCCTTCCTGCAGTGTAACTTGGGAAACAGGTCCAAGTGAAGAGCGCTCAGGGCCTTGACTTCTCAGCGTCCTCAGACTGTAGGATCGAGAAGCCTGTGGGGGAATATCTCTCTCCACACCCTTGCCTCCATGTGCCATGTGCTCTCTGAGTCTGTGAATCTTAGTAACCCCCTGGCTCTTGTCGATGCCTCTAACCTACTTGCCTATCCTCTATTAAAGCTCCAGAAACATCTTCCTGAAATACCAATCCTATTAGGTGAGGCTGAAAATCGAACCACCCCCACAAGTATCTAGGCCCTGACCCCCAGCCAACCTCCCAGCTCCCACCCTTGCTGCCACTCCCCGGCACTTGAGGCCAGCCAGGTGAAGTCCACAGTGCCACAGCTGCTGCCCTCGTCACCTGTAGGTCAGCTGCAGTGTCCCCTCTGTAGCACCTCCACCACTTCCTGCCTCCCTTTTGCTCTCACTGGCTTTCCCGGGGCAATTTCAGCCCATGGAGACTGACATGCTCTCCTTTTCCCACTCTCTCAGAAAACACAAGTCTGGGCGTGGTTTCCAGAACCCAAGTCCAGTCATCTCACTGTTCTTTCTTGTGTGTCTGTTGCGTGCATGTGCGTGTGTGTGGAGGCCAAAGGGCAACTTCTGCTGATATTCCTCTGTTGTGATTTACCTTGTTTTTCTGACAGGGTCTCTCGTAAGCTTGGATCTCACTGAGCAGGTGATGTGGGCTTCCTAGTGAGCCCCAGAGAGCTGCTTGCCTCTGACTCTCCAGCCCTAGGATTTTAACACAGCACAACTCTTAGTGTTTTGTTGTTGTTGTTGGTTTTGGGTTTTTTTGTTTTGTTTTTTTAGTGTCAGTTCTTGGGGATGCAGTCAAGGTCCTTGAATCTGCAAAACAAGTGTTTCACTGACTGAGCCCTTTCTTAGACAGACATTCACTTTTATCTTTGGGTCCTTCCAGCTCCTCCCTTGGCCGGAGTTGGTCCATTGTTTCTATAATCCTAACCAAATATTGATCCCTTTTGGCAGAGCTCATAGTCAAACCTGGCTCATCTTAGAACTAGAAACTTTCTCACTTTGATGTGAAACAGGGGTAAATGGTGTGTGTGTAAGAGCTTTGAATCCCAAGCAATAAAATGGGAAGAACCTGAAGCTATAAAAAAAAGTATACAGAAATGACATAAGAGGGAAGAGAAATGGAAGAAAGGCGTCCTCGGGAACAAAAGGACAGGCAGAGGCAGATGGAGCCTGGCCTCACAGTGCCAGATGAACGTATGGAAATCTTTTTCTTTCAGCACAACAATTATTTATTGAGCACCTGTTATGGTGCTCGTAGCTCTCCAACAGTTTATATAACAGCTCATTCCTCCAACTTCAGTGTCAAATTTGGAAATATGTTTTCTCATTGAATTGTGAAGGTTTTGCACATGTGTGAAAAAGTGACTTGAGTTAAAATACAAAGTTGTTGAATGTCTTGATTTTCAGAAAATTTCCTAGAAAAGTCTTGATCAATTTGGACATGTGAAGAAGAAAAAAAAGTATCTTAAGCTAGGCATGGTGGCACATGCCTTTAATCCCAAATCAAAGTAGAGGCAGAAGGGGGAGAGGGGCAGAGGGACAGAGAGGTAGAGAGACAGAGAGGCAGAGAGAAGCAGAGAGGGAAGCAGAGAGGCATAGGCAGGAGGATGTCTGTGAGTTCAAGGCCAACCTGGTCTATATAGTAAGTTCTAGGCCAGCCAGGTCTACAAAGCAAGACTTTTGTTGCCATTTTTACTTATTTATTTTTTTGTTTGTTTGTTGTTTTGAGACAAGGTTTCTCTGTGTATAGCCCTGGCTGTCCTGGAACTCTTTGTAGACCAGGCTGGCCTCAAGCTCACACAGATCTGCCTGCTTCTGCCTCCTGAGTGCTAAGATTAAAGGTGTGTGTCACCACGCCTGGCTTCCTGGTTTGTTTGTTTGTTTGTTTGTTTTTAACTGGTGGCTGGAAAGATGGCTCACAGTTAAGAGCACATATATCACTCTTGCGGAAGACCATAGTTCAATTCCCAGCACCCACGTGGGGTGGCTCACAACTGACTTCCTGTACCGCCAGCTCCAAGAAGATCTGATACCTTTGGCTTCTTGGGTCACTGGCTGTCACGTACATGTATCCACACACAAACACAATTAAAATTAAACAAAAGCTTTAAAAAAAACGTCTCTTAATGGTCCCCAAAGTACCTGGGTGCACGTTGTAGGCGGGATGATAAAGAAAGGTCCTTTGTTAATTATTGGTGGTGCTGAATTTGGTAGTGCTGGGGACTGAACAGGGCCCTTGCACGTGTGAACCAAGGACTCTCCCACTCGTGTACATCCCCAGCTTTGAGAAACAGATCTTGAGATGAGCACAGAAGAAATTAACCCCAAAGAAGAGGTGAGAAATTGTGATGGCTATTCTTGGTTGCAAATTTGACTACATCTGGAAGTAATTAAACCCAAGCGGCTGGGAACACCTGTGCAGGGGGTTTTTTGTTTGTTTTGTTTTGTTTCTTAATTAAATTATTTGAATTGGGAAGATCCACCTTTAATCTGGGCCACACCAGAAGAAACCAAAGGACCGGGAAGAAGGAAGCTCCCTCTCTGCCTGCTTACTCTCGCTGGCAAGTCCATTCCTTCACTGGCATTAGAGCCTTCTTCAAGATACTGGCAAATACTGAAGGCCAGCTGAAACTTCCAGCCTCAAGGACTGAACAACTACTGGATTCTTGGACCTTCCTTTGGTAGACAAACATTGTTGGACTAGTTGGACCACATCTAATAAATACCGTTTATGAATGTAAGTTTTGTTCCCAGAGAGAACTCTGACTAATATAGAAGGGAAGGGTATGGGTTTGGGGCAAGGATGAAGGTGAGCTGCAATGCAGTCTCCATGACATCTCTTCTGGTCCCACAGGGCACCAGCTGTTAGGATTTGTCAGAGTCATCTCACGACTCGGCAAGCAGGCCTGGTCCTTATAGATGACACAACCCTTCAGTGACCAGCTGCTCTTCCCTCCAAGGTCACGACCTTGGCCAAGGCAGCTCCTTTGAGCTTCTGGCTGTCAACCAGCTGCCTCCCAATGGACAGTAAATAAATCCCCCAGTTCTAGAAAAATCAGTACAACATGGCAAACACGGCATGGTCTTATCTTTGTTCTTTAATGGTCTTTGTCACATTTAATGATAATTTTTAAAGAAAATACTCATCATTCATAACTCCAATATTCAAAAGTATCATTTAGTTAGCTTCCTGTTTCACATGAAGTTTTTAAAAAATGTAAATATGCCATTGTGAATTCCTTTTTAAAGTATTTATTTTTAATGTCATTGTGTGTGTGTGTGTGTGTGTGTGTGTGTGTGTGTGTGTGTAAGAGAGAGAGCGAGCACATGCAAGCAGAAGTGCTCAGGAAGGGCAGAAGAGGTCATTAGATTCCCTGGAGCTGGAGTTACAGACAGTTGTGTGCCCCGCCCTACTTGGGTGCTGGGAACTGATCATAACCACTGTGCCATCTCTCCAGCACCCATCTCTCTTCTGGGATAGGTAGGCCCAACTGGCCTTGAACTCAGTATGTAGCCACAAATAACCTTGCACTTCTGGCCCTCCTCCTGAATTTACCTCCCTAGTCAAAGAGTTATAGCTTGTGGCTCTAAGCCACATTTATAAAGAGCCGGAGGTTGAACCTGGGGCATCACACATGCTACGTAAGCAGTCTGCCAACCGAGCCGCATCTCCAGCCCTCCATTTTTTTTTTTTTTTTTTTTTAAATTTGTGTCTTTCCTCTGTTGGGTAGTAGAATGTGAAGTGTGTAATAACCAACTCAGCCTGAAATAAGAGACTTGGGGTTTTAACTTCACAGCAGGATTTCAGCAGAGACACTGAATTCAAATTTAGAGAACTTAAAAAAAAAATAAAGCATCATCAAGGTAGGCAAATGCAGCAGATTACAGCGCAATTTGGGCACTGAGGATTCCTAGGGAGTACCTGTGTTGCCAGCCAGTGCTGTAATTAGAAGGTTGGCGTCCCCCCACCCCGCCCCATGCAAAGTTAACCTTGGACAGGGATGGACAGGAGAATTGCTTTGACTTTAGTGATTATTTCTCTCTTGTATATGCATCCCAAAACATCATGTTGCACACCTTAAATATATATAATTTTAAAAAAACAAAATGTGCGCATCCCCATTCCTTTGGTGCATGATTTGCACCCATGCACCCCAGTACCCGTGAAAAGGGTGTTCCGGGAGATAGCACCTCTGTTGCCATCCATCGATCATAATTTAGGATTTTCAAAATAGCTCCATCCTCCACCGTAATGATGTCACATGAGGAAATATGTAATTGCAGTGTCAACAGACTAAAATACAACCAAGGGATTTTTGACTTAACAGCAGGCTGTGGGTAAACTGTGATATAAACAGACTGCAGCCGTCTGTGAAGGAAGAGCCATTTTAATATTGCCATTTCAAAGAGCTATTCTGTTCTCCAGCTTCTTAAAAATGAAGACCCTGATTGCACATCTTTGGAATGAAAATTCACTCTAATTCAGGGAACATAAGAGTACAAATCCAACTGAGGACTGACAACAAAGTGATTTTTCCCAAATTTATATGTTTGTGAAGGGCAGCCTCAACCAGATTGGAGTCCTCTTGACTTTGAGTCAGGATGTATCAAACAGGAGAGACTGATATTTGTTCGTTATTGCCTCTCGCCTCCTCTCTTCGGTGGTCTGTTTCTTTTGGGTGGGGATACGACTGTGAATACCTGGGTTTGCTTGGAGTCTGAATAGATGTCAGTTTTACCTTTTCTTTTCAGCGCTTGGGCTCAAACCTAGGGCCTCACAGAGGCTTAGCAAACACGCTGTCACACTGAGCTGTGTCCCCAGCACTCCTCTTTACTTTGTGAGACATTGGTCTTACAAAGTTGTCTAAGCTGACCTGAACTCACTCTCTAGCCTAGGCAGATCTTGAACTTGTGATCCTCCTGCCTCAGTCTCCTGAGTAGCTGGGATGACAAGCCAGCACCATTAGGTCTGACTTAGACATTACGTTTGCTTTAGCCTGCCGTGTGACGGAACCCACCTCCCACCTCATTTCTTTTCTGATACCTTACTGTAGTCTATCTTCTCCCTTCACATCAGTCCCTTTGTTCCTATGCGCCACACCACCGGGGAACACCATGATGGTGCAGCCCAACCTCCTCTTGAGAACTCAGCTATGATGTCAAGACCCAGTCTTCTTATTGCTAGGTAGAGCCCTGGCACAAGTTTCTTAAGAATTTGGGGCTGCAGGGTTGGTGGTGTTCACCTATAATCCATGCCATCAGGAAGCTGAAGCAGGAGAAGTATCAATTCCAAACTGTCTGGGCTACATAGTAAGTTCCAGTCAGTCAGGATGGAGAAGAGCATGATCATATAAAAGGCCAAGAGACCAAGGGCAGAGGTTTTGTTGTTGTTATTGGAGAACTTTTTAAAAAACTTTAATATTTCTTATATCTTTTTCTCCCTACTCCACCCCAACACCAGGTAGGAGAAAGGATTAGTGGGAGAGGGGGCACAGTTCTTTCTTAGCTGCTTCCTGTTGGTTAGGGTTGTCAGGTTCCTTGGAGCCAATCCAATCCTCATTTCAGGAGATCTGAATTGCTGTTGTCTCACAACAGCAACCAGGAGCTGTTCTTTCTCTGATCCCAACTCTCTGGGCTCTGGCAATTATTTCCTCTCCAGTCCTCAGATTTATTTTTTATTTTTATTTTTATTTTTATTTTGAAAACAGTGTTCCCATGTTTATTTTAGATTTTGGCCCCCACATAAAATGTTATCTGAGTTTTTTGATGGACAATAAATAGCTAAAGTATTTCACTGTCAAATGAAAACACTACATACAATATCCTTACTGAGTTCCAGCTACCCTTCCTCCCAGCTTTTCTGCAGATGGCAAAGAGCTCCTCTCAGAGCCCCCATGAGGCAAATAATCTGTTGCTGTGGATCCTCTGAATCAGTCCCATATCCCACACCAGGGACAAAAACAAAACCATGTTTATATTCACAACAGGTTGTTGTTTTTTTTATTTTGTTTTTGATAGTGGGTCTCATTTAAGCCAGGCTAGCCTTAAACTTGTTATGTAGTTGAAGATAAATTTGCATTGCTCCTCCTGCCTCTGCTTTCCAAGTGCTGAGAGTGCAGGTGTGTGCCCAGTTGTGCCTCAAACTCACTATCTTTCTGCTTCTGCCTCCTGAGTATTGGGACTAGAGTCCTGCACCACCATGCTAGACACCGTGACTTTCATGAGAGGCCAGGGGTCCTATCTAAAATAAGGAAATTGAGCAAAAAGCTCTTTAGGGTTATTATTTATTTATTTATCTATCTATCTATTTATTTATTTAAAACTTTTGTTTATATGTTTATATGTTGTTTATATGTTTGTGTGGGTATATTCAAATGAGTGCAGTGCCTACAGAGCCCAGAAGAGGGAGTCAGATCACCTGGAGTTGGAGTTCCAGGTTGTTGTAAGCTGACAAGTATCCTTAACCCCTGAGCCATTTTTCTAGCTCCTTTTTAGTATTTCTTTCATCTCTGTCCTCCTATGGCTTCAGAAACTTTTTCATTATCATTGCTTGACCAGCAGTGTCATAGGGAGTCTGCTATGGGACCTGTTCTTACTGGTTCTCAGAAGCATGAAAGAGAAAGGGGTTCTCATCTAATGGGGAAGTAAAGTGATCAGAAACTACTTGAGACAAAACCAGGCAACTCTCAGCTGGGCACAGTGGTACATACCTTTAGCTCTAGAACATGGGAGGCAGAGGCAAGTGGATCTCTGTGAGCAAGGGCTACATAAAGAGATGCTGTATCAGAAAAAAAAAAATTCTTTAACCCCTGTGGAGCATGAGAGTAGAGCAGAAAGGGAAGGGCCCCTGGGCATCAGATTGTATCATCAGTGGTGGTTTGGCTTGGGAGGAGGCATTGGTAGAGGAGGAAGAGGTCCCAAAACATTTGAATCCACATTTAGTTTTGTCTCCTCTGTATTTTCTACAGTCTCTTCTATTTGCATGTGTAATTGTGAGTTTATCTATTGCTATGATTATAGGACCATAACATCCCAGTGGCAGTGAGTGGGGTGAGTGGGGGCGAGAGTCTTTTCTTTTTCTTTGTTAATACGCAAAAAGTACCGATGTGTGGTGCAGGAGGTTCCTGGAACAGGACAGCAAGGACTTCTCCTGGCACTTGGTGAAGCCCCCACTTTGCTACGCCTCTGGCAACCGGAGTGTGAGCGACTGAGAAAGAAAGGAAAAGATGACCTGCTGGGTGTGAAGCCAGCTTGTCATCCTCCACAGTGAGGAAGGAGCAAGGTCTACACTGCCTCTCAGCTGAACGTTCCCGCAGGGCTGCTCGGGAGCTGTGGCATTGATCCCCATTCGAAAGCTGACAGAGGGTGTCTGCGTTGGCGCCGCAGAAACAGGCACATATGTTCATTATTCGCTTCTCTCTTTGTAACCCCTCCTCTGCCAAATATATCCACGTTGGTTTTCTCATCTTCGATTGCTCAAATCCACATATGCTCTGGGGCTCAGGAAAATATCAACATATACGTTCACTCACACTGTATTACAACACCCAGAAGGCCATCAGTTCCTACAGTCGCATCCGCTAGATTCTGCTATCTCGGGTACCAGCATTCTGCTTGAATGTGTCAAATGATTAACACTTAGTTTCTATCCAAAACAGTATATAAGAACGAACCCGTGCAGACACAAAGTTGCAAGCTCAGGGGTACATGCACAGAAATTACTAGTTTTTATAATTAGCAAGCCCATGGATGTCCATGTATACCGGTGTACACAGGACAAAAGCGGGGCTGGAGAGATTGCTCAGTTAGTAAAGTGCTCTCTCGGCAAGCATGAGGACCTGAGTTCAATGCCCAGCACCTGCACAAAAGCTGGACACAGCAGCATGCATCTATAGCTCAGTGTCTAGGAAGCACAGACAAGAGGATACCTAGGGCTTGCTGGTTAGCCAGGCCAGCCAGCCTAACCAAATTGATGAGCTCTAGGTTCACTGAGAGGCCCTGTCTCAAAAAGTAAGTTGGAGAGAGATTAGGGAAGATACCTGATATTGTTGATCTTTGGCCTCTACACATACATGCTATACAGAGAGAGAGAGAGAGAGAAAGGAAGGAAGAAGAAACAGAATCACTCATTCCTGTGTTTTACAAGTTCAAGTGATTAATACTGAAATTTTCCAGGAGCTCCATTTTCTTATTTGTCTGTGTTAGTTTATGACATTTCTAATTTGAGACTTGAGTACTCTTTACAATTCCTTTCTCCTTCATCTTTCATTTCTCAGTGAGGCATGGTGGTACACACTTATAACCCCAGCACTTGGGAGACAGAGGCAGGAAGATCAAGCTTGTTGGACCAGCTTGGGCTATGTAGTGAATTTGAGGCCAACTTGGACTATAGAGTGAGACCCTGTCTAAAAGGAAAAAAGGAAAAAGAAAGGAGGATAGGAAGAAAGAAAGGAGGGAGGGTAGGTTACTTTTATATGAATTATTCCATATACAAAAACTAAAGTGAGAAACCTCATCTAGGTTAAAAGTAAGTAAAAATGGGCTGGTGTTGTAGTTTAGTGGTCAAGTGCCGAGTGCTTTCCCAGAATGCACAGAGCCCTGGGTCTGATCCCAGCACTGCATAAGCCAGACATGGTTGTGAGTTCAGTCTGTAACAGAACTCCCTGGAAGTGGAGACAGGAAGACTGGAAGTTCAAGGTCATCCTTAGCCTACAAAGAGAGTTCAAGGTCACTTAATAAATAAAGTGCCCTCTGAGAAACGCAACCTGTCTCTTCAGAGTCAGTTGAGATAGTAAATACTTACTCACTGATCCTTTAATGATGTTTTTTATAACGGATACGTTGAGGCATGGTGCACAAAATAACCTTATTTTCTTTTATTTGCTGTAGGTATTTGAAGAACGAAGAGCTCTGCTTGGAAAATGGGTAAAATATTTATTTAAAATAAGGGCTGAGGATATCTGAGTCTTACAGTACTTGGCTAGCATGCACAAGGCCTTGGGTTCAATCCTCAATTCCACAAGATAGATGGATGGACGGATGGATGGATGGATGGATAGATAGACAAATAGATAGATAGATAGACAGATAGATAGATAGACAGACAGACAGATAGATAGACTGACTGACAGATAGATAGAAGACAGATTAAAATGTGCCTGTTTCTGCACCATGGTATATTATCAGTTTTAGTCTATTCAAGCTACTATCATGAAAATAATAGGCCAAGTTGCTATTTATTTCTTTTTCTTAGTTCTGGGGTTTGGAAGGTCTCAAGATCCAGGTTCTGTAATGAGTGTGTGGTGAGAGCCTTCTTGAGCTGCCATCCTGGCAGAAAAGGGAAATGAGGTCTCTGTTTTGGTCCTGTTGGGAGGTCCACCTCCCAAAGGCCTACTTACTGCCTCCATCACTCTGCAGGTTAGGATTTCACGTTGCTTTAATTTTCTTGTTAAGATTTGTTTTATGTGTATGAATATCTTGTCGGATGTGTGTATGTGTACCATGTGGGTACCAGATGACTATGAAGGCCAGAAAAGGGTATTGTATCCTCTGGAACTCGAGCTATAAATGGTTGTGAGCCACCATGTGGGTGCTGGGGACCAAACCTGGGTCCCCTGAATCATTTCCCTAGCAGACCTGACTGTTATTGTTTGAGCCTGACTCACCCTGGCTGGCCTGGAACTCACTAAGTAGCCCAGACTGACCTGGGATTATGAGGGTGGGTATTCCTGGCCCCCTAATGTGAATGTTTTAGGACACAAACATTAAGTCTGTAGTATTATCTTGGTGCCTATGGAATGTGTACCTAAGGCAATGCTGGCTCTTTCCTGGGAAACATGACTAATGATTTCCATTTAGACTCTACCTGGAAAACAGAGCTCATCCATTACTTTAATGGACATAATTTAATCAAAAGGACTGGTGAACAAATATTGAAAAAAAGACTCAGGAAGGGATTGATGAGGGTCTGTGGAGACAGAACTGGGCTAATGCCAGCCTCACTTGTACTTTGGAAGGAAAAGCTCGTGCCCAGCTGGGGACCCACACTCCTGAGAATGAAGTAGGTACCACAGCCAGTTGGTTCTGATATACCCAAGGAAGCATGATGATTCTAAGTTGTCTGGGGGGGGGGGGGAACTGGAGCCAGGACTCAGGGTGAAGAGGCAAGGTGGTTCTGACAGGAACAACAGTCTCTTCTTCCTCAGTTTCTCTCTTACTGACTCCCTCTTCATAGGCAGCATTTAGCAGAGCTGGCTGTCCAAGAAGAAATATGAAGTCTAGGAGTTCCAGCCTCCTAGACTCATGGAGTATAGTGATATAGGTTTGGATCTGAGAGATGGTATCTTAGTAACCAATGCAGTTCATCCATTGGGCTCTCAGCAGCCGGGTAAACGCTTCTGTGTAGACATGAACTTCCATATGAGAACACTAACGACTTCGTGCTTTTGCCTAACAAGATACAGCTACCCTTCATCATCAGTGGGGACTCTCTCTCTAACGAGGAGACAGAGTCCCAAAGGTCATTATCCATTACTGAATAATATCAAATTATGTGTTTCTGGGCAACAAATTACTTGTTGAATTACTCTACAGTCTCAACTAAATATTTGCTGCTACTCAAGAGAACTGAAAACATATGCTCATACAAAAACCTGCACGTTAGTGTTTATAGCAACAGTATTCAAAACAGTCAAAAGCATAAATAATCCCAATATCCATCCATAGGTATGAATAAACAAAATATGCCATGCGCATATGATGGAATATTATTCAGCCCTAAGCTGAAAGCATTTCTCACGCATGATATGACACGGACAACCTTTGAAGGCATTGGATGCTGAGGGAAATAAGCAGGGAAAGACAGACATTGTACAGCTCCATGTTCCATGAGGTACTTAGAATGGACAACTTCATAAAGATAGAAAATAAAATAGAGGGCACCAGGGGTTGGGGAGCTGCCATTTGATGGGTACAGACTCTTGGTTTGGGAAAGTTCTGGAGACAGGAGTGGAGGTAGTTACACTGTAATGTGAGTTTATTTAATGCCACTCTACACTTGAGTGATTAAAAGGATGAATTTTATAGTTATTTTACCAAAGTTAACAACAACAACAACAAAAAAAAGGTAAAAGGTCAGGTATAGTAATAAAAGCCTAATCAGTTCAAGGGTAGCCTCAGCTGCATACCAAGTTCAAGGCTAGCCTGGGCTCTTGAGACCCTTTTTGCATAAACCAGTTCTCTCCTACCCTCCATCTCCCCACCCAAAGAAGTTTAAAATAGGATAAAATGCTTATGTATTCTTCTTTTCAAATGATTTTATCTTTAATAATGGTAATTTTAGTGGTCATTTTTTTAATGGCAACTGCTTTAATAATAGGGATTTTATGGTAATTAAAAAATATTTAAAAATATAGTGAAGTTGTTGACTTTATGGTGGCTGCTGCTGTGAGTGCCTCACCCACAGTCCAAGATGAGGATGACACTGGATTCCTAACCCATGGATGGGAAGGTGGCTTCATGGGTCTCAGACTGACATATTTGGTTACTGAGTCTCTGAAAGGTAGAAGATAAGAAATGAAAAATAAATTTAAGGGACACTCAGAGAACAGGGTACCATTTCTAGTTTTTGAGTGTGTGTGTGTCTGTGTGTGTGTGAAAATGTCCTGAGATTAGATAACGGTGGGTTTGTGACCTTATAAATATACTAAAAATCAGTCCATTGTATACTTTACTTTTTTCTCATTTTCAAATGTGTGTGTGTGAGACAGAGATACCTGTATAAGGGCACACTGCCACAGTGCTCATGTAGAGATCAGAAGACAACTTTGTAGTCTGTTCTCTCCTTCTACCTTTACGTAGATTAAGATTAAAACTCAGGTCATCAGATTTGTGTGTGCTCCTTGTCCCTTTAACTGCTGGGCCATCTTCCTGGCCCTCCACCTTACTTTTAAAGGCAGGGTCTCTTACTTAACCTGGATTTGGCTTAGATTGACTGGCCAGTAGCCCTAAGGACTCCCTTGTCTCAGCCTCTCCAACGCTGGGATAACAGGTGTGTGCCACCACACCCAGCTTGAAATGGATGCTAGGGAGCCACATTCAGATCTTCCTGTTTGCAAGGCAAGTAAGTGCCTTTCCAACTGAGCTGTCTCTCAGTCCTTTACAGTCTTGGCATTTAAAAATGTTTATTTTTAATTCTGTGTCTATGTGAGGGGACAGAATACTCCACAGAACAGCATCCTCCAGATGACACCTTGAGACAGTAGAATAAGAGAGCTCTAATGGCTCCCCAGCCTCACAAGCTGGCCTTCACTTTTGTGCTGCAGGATTTTGCTGGAGAACTGATGAGAGAGATAAGGGAGATTATTAAATTCCTGCATAGATTATCTACTTTCTGGTTTAGCCTAACACCTTCTAAACTCCAAAGGGATCCCCCCCACCCCCACCCCCACCCCACCTTACCCCACCCCACCCCCGCTGCTCAGTATTCTGAGTCATCCCCCTACCTTGAATTGGTAGGGGTTCAAGGAATGCAAATTCATTTTCTATTAGTTTAAACAAACACAATTAGAAAGGAAAATCCCGGAGGCAAAAAACACCTATCCGAGCCAAAAGTAAATTATCCTGGACCTTCTTGATTGGGGAAACAAATGAAGAGCCCATGTAATTATCTTTTTAATCTCCAGGTAGAGTGTTTCAGTGTTTTCTTTTATAGGTTTTTATGATCCTAATGTTCTTTTATATTCATTTTAAGTCACATTATAATTTGAGTTCATTTTCTTATGTGGCATTAAGGAAATCTGGTGTGCTTAACTGGCCTCATTCTTTTCTAGGCACAAACATGACAGCTTCATGCTTTTAAAGCTTTTGTCTATCTTTTTTACATTGCCTTAACCACTTACACGTTGTTTTTAAGATCTCCATGGCATTTTAGAATAACGGTTGTCCTTTGTCCAATTACATGCACACATATACACATGCATGCATGTATGGAATCCTCATAACAACCCTGCAATAGAGATATGACGACTGCTAATGTATTAATGAGGACATTTTGAATATTACAAACGGTACAAATATTACAAGAGTAAGACACTGAGTCTTCCCTCCTGTCAAATGATCCAAACTCAGAATGTGTAAGCAACTTTTATGTTACAGTCTGGAAAACTGTAATCCGGGAGACGCTGGCTCTAAATAGTTCCCAATCAGTGTTTAGAAGGAAATAAAGAAAGTGGGACTTTCACAGACAAGTTCTAAAACCATTACAAGGTAATTTAAATCCTTTAAAGAAAGACTCTTTTTGAAGTTGGAAAAGAGTTCTGGGGGCTGGAAGGACACACACTGAAGTGTCATTTCTCTTGTCAGTTCGCCACAGTCTAGACTCATTTGAAAAGGGAGTCTCAATCCAGTGACGGTCTAGACTGGGTTGGCCTATAGGCGTGTCTGTGGGGAATTGTCTAGAAGGCAGTACCATTTCCTGAGCATGAGCTTCTGAACTATAGCAGATAGGTCAGATAGGAGAAAGCTAGCTGAGAGCAATCAAGGATAGTTCATTTCTCCCTGCTCTACACATACACCTATATGTCTGTCTGTCTATAATCTATCCACTTATTATTATATTTTCCTAGTTACTGTTACTTTGATAAAATACCACAACAAAAAGCAATTCATGGGAGTAAGTGTTCACCTTAGTCCACAATTCCAGCTATAGTCCACCATAGTAGAGATGCCAAGGCAGTAACTTAAAACAGCTAGTCACATCTGTTGTCAAAAGCAGAAAGAAATAAGTGCATACAAGTACATTTGTGCTCAGCTTTGTCTCTGTGCTGAGAAAGTCTGGAATCCCCTGCCTAGGAAATGGCACCTTCCATAGTAGGCTGGCTCATCCCACATCAATTAACATAATCAAGACAATCCCCCTAAAGGCCAACCTGACCTAGACAATCCCTCAATGAGACACTCTGCCCAGGTGGCTCTAGACTGTGTCAAGTTGACACTTGAGTTGACTAACCATTCACTTATACACTGAAGGTCTAGGTCAGACACACTCCTGCATTACAGTCTGGTCTTATACACAGAAATGTGAGAAAGAATAAGTAGGAATTATGGAATTTATTGAGCTGAGACAGAAACAAATACATGCTAGGCCTTAGCAATGACTTACTAAACTAACTTTCTGTGACATTCTCTCCCCTCCCTGTGACTGATCAGAATACACAGACTCTTTTGTTCTGTTTCCTCAGTTTGACAAATGGACAGACTCTCAAAGGAGAAGAATTCTTACAAGCCTGCTAGAACGCTGCTCCCTGTCCCAGAAGAAGTTCTGTTGTCGAAAGCTGCAGGAAAAAATCCCAGCAGAGGCCGTGGACTTTACCACCAAGCTTCCACGGGTGTTATCTGTCTATATCTTTTCCTTCCTGGATCCCCGGAGCCTTTGCCGTTGCGCGCAGGTAAAGGCAATGGCACATGGAGTTTTGTTGGGACATTAGGAAACTCTGAAAGTGCAGTATCCTGAAGACTAAACTCACAAATGTGTTCATAAAGCCAAGCAACAGATTTTATACTCTGCAGAGTTTGAATGACCCTTGACCTTTTCTTATGTCTAACTCTGTAGGCCCAAAGGTGTGTGTGTGTGTGTGTGTGTAAGACACTATGAGTGTCAGGTGATAAAAACAACTAGCCGTTACACACATATAAGTTGTTTCTCAGCAGGACAGCATTGCTCACAGCTACAATAATCCCCAAGATCTGTGGCTCTGAACCCTTTAATACATTTCTTCATGTTGTGGTGGACCCCCAACCACAAAATTATTTTCATTGCTATTCTATAGCTGCAATTTTGCTACTGTTAGGAACTGTTTTGTAAATATATATCACTGATGGTCTTAGGTGGCCCCTGTGAAAGGGTCATTTGACTCCCCAAAGGGTTGTAACCCACATACTGAATGCCACTGCCCTAGACTGTGCAGTGCGGGGCACCTGTCAAGAGAAAAGCTCAAAAGAGGGTGTTTATGGGATGTGTACAAAGAGGATGAGAGTGAAAGATATCTAACCTAAGCTGCATGACTGCAAACTCAGCACTTGGAAAGCTAAGACAGGAGAACCATTGTGAGCTCAGGGCTACCCTGGGCTACAGAGAGAAATCTTGTCTCAAAAAAAAAATCAGAAAGAAAGATAGGTATATCTGAATGTGCCAGAACTACCTTTATTTAGATGGTGAGAGCTTGGGAAAAAAAGAGGCCAATGTTTCTTACAAGTAATGTTTTTACTGTATGGAACTGAGGTTAACGAGCTGGAGAGATGCTCAGCAGCTAAGAGCACTGTTGCTCTTGCAGAGGATCCAGGTTCTGTTCCCAGCACCTATGTGACATCTCACAACTATCTACAATTTCAGTTCCAGGGCATCTGACTCCCTTTTCTCTTTTGCATACCTATACATACACACAGGAAAATACTCACACACCATAAGAGTAAAAATAAGCAAATGTATACGGAAATAAACTGGACTTAAATTAAGATATAAACCTGTAAAGCAGGCATGGTGGGGCGTACCTGTAATGCTAGCACACACAGGAGGGTCAGGAGTGTAAGTTACTGAGCTGTGCCTTCCAGGAAAAGGACAGACGTTATCTGGGGCCCCACAAGGCAGCTCAAGCAGTAGAGGAAATGAGGATGTGAAGTGAGTAGGCTGCTTTGTTTCCTCAGGTGAGCTGGTACTGGAAGAGCTTGGCTGAGCTGGACCAGCTCTGGATGCCCAAGTGCCTGCGCTTTAACTGGTACATCAGCTTCTCCCCAACACCCTTCGAGCAGGGCATCTGGAAAAAGCACTACATTCAGATGGTGAGAGAACTTCACATCACCAAACCCAAGGCAAGTTCGAGACAGAGGCACACTCTTAGAGCTGTGAGTTAATGATCCAGTCTAAATGTAGGAAAGGGAGTGGGCATACCCCATGACTTCAAGCTTCTCTTTTGAGGCTACGCAGACCTCTTCGTTACCAGAAGTTCTCACCTGACACCCTCCAATCACAGCTACCTTTAGGAGTACCGGAGGGTGCTTCTCCCTGGACCCCATCCTTGATTTCTTCGCCACTCCCTCAGACACCAGACAGCTCTAACGCAGGAATTCTGCAATATATTCAGTAATCATCAGCATGGGACATTAGAATTTAAACATTCAGATTTGCTACGGTTCTGTAAGATGAGCTGGAGTTTGTTGGTCAGTCAGTCAGTTGGTTGGTCAGTTAATTCATAACCTATATATAAAAAAAAGCCAGACATGGTGGGACACACTTGTAATTCAGTACTGTGGAGGTGGACCTCACTGGACAGCTAGCTGAGACAAATGGGAGAGCTCCAGGTCCCAGGGAGAGACTCTGCCCTCCACAATCATATCCACACAGGTATGCACGCACACGCACACACACACACAATCATTTGATATTAACACTCACAGAATAAAAGAAGAGATACAGGATCACTTTAATACAGATACGCAAACAAGTCATCTAACAAGATTCAGCATCCAGTCATGGTGACAGAACTCCAGAAAGACTTCATTCAGGCTGAAAATACTGCTCAGCAGTAGACAAACTAGTTGCTTTCCTAGCATGTGTCAGACCCAGGGTTTAACCCCAGCACCAGCACAAGAGATTTTAAATGGTAAGAGCAAAACTTGTGTACTTCATTGCTGTGGATTTCATCATTGCCAATTTGTTAGAGTACCAAGCATTTTGTGCTTTTCAGAATCAATGATTTTTTTTCTATATGCTACTATCACTTATACTTAAATACTTCCCTTGTTTTTTAAATTATCATGTATTATTTGATTTCCAATAGTGGTGCATTGTTTTTGCTTTTCGTTGCTGCAACAGAATACCTGCCAAAAGCAACTCAGAGAAAGAAAGGTTTGTTTTGGCTCACAGTTCTAGAGTACAGTCAACAATGTTGGGAAGTCACGGCTGAATGATCTCGGGGTGGCTGTCACGTTGCATCCACAGTCAGGAAGCTGAGAGCTGAATGCTCGTGCTTGGTGCACTGTCTCCTCTCTATGCAGTCCGGAACCTCAGTGCACGAGATGCTGCTGCCCCAATTAGGGTGGCTCTTCTCATTCCAGTTAACTCAGTCTGGAAACCCCCTCACAGACATGCCCAGAGGTTTGTCTCCTAAGTGAGTCTCGAGCCTGTCACATGGACAACACCAACCATTGCAAGGATTAAAGTAGAACTCCTTCAGCAAAGAGACAAGGGTTTATTTCTAAATAAGCTAATAGAAATGAATGTCCATTCTAGATAAGACCTGTATAACATACAGAATTATACAAATATTAAGTGTCTTCTTAGTTGGCTACTGGGCTACGGTGATGGGTAATCTTGACTGTCAACTTAACATGCCTGTGAGGGACCTGTTATGAGGCATTGTCTTGATTGTGAATCCATGTGGGAGGGCCCAGTCCACTGTGGGCGATGCTGACCCTAGGCAGGTGGTCCTGAGCTGTTTAAGAAAAGTAACTGAGCATGATCCTGGAAACAAGGCAGCAAGCAGCATTCCCCCATGGTTTCTGCTTCAAGTTCCTTCCCTGACTTCCCTTGATGATGGTCTGTAAACCTGTAGCATGAAATAAACCCTTTCTGCCCCAAGTTGCTTTTGGTCATAGAGTTTATCATAGCAGTAGACAGCAAACAGATACAGCCATAACCAAGCTAATAAATACTTGTCCAACACTGTTATGTGCTGGGTGCTAAGAGTGCAGGGATCCTAACCAGGTCTCCACAGAGTTCAGCCTAGTAGCCATGACACACTCAAATGAAAAACTGTAATTAATACTAAGGATAATCCTGGAGTAGAAGTGACTACAATAAACGAGGAGTGGCTCAGACAATGAGTAACTACGTTGTCATGCTCGGGGAGCTAAGGGGTTGCTTCTCCCTCCTTCCTTCTTCTCTTCTCTCCCCCTCCCTCCCTTCTTTCCTTCTTTATTTTTGGTGATGGCACTGGATGTGGAATAGAAGACCCTAGGAAAGACTCTACCAGAGAGCTACACTCCAGTCCCACCTGGGGAAATTCTTGATTTTTTTTTTTTTTTTTTACTCACAATTGAAGCAAGCCAATTTACTAAGCAAAGCTTCCCTAATCTCTTAATGAACAAAAATTGAGCTCTTAATGGCTTCCCAACATACCAGTACCACTTCCCTTAGGCTAAACCCACACTGAAAACACTTTATGAACTGAGCACACAAAAGACAGACTTCTAATCTGGAAATGAAATAGAATTATTCTTAGGGAGTTGCTTTGCTTCGGATAATTGACATGGCCACAGTCAGTGCAACTTGAACTTGTCTTTCTGTTAGGTCATTAAGGCTAGGACCCTTTCTGTGTTGAGGGTGTGTGGAGTGCGCCCTTTTTATGAACATACTAACTGCAGTGTGACAAGTAGATAATGGGGGATAAACAGAACGACGGGATCAGATGATGAAGTTTGATGTGTGGTCTTGAAGCACCACAAACTTAAATTTGAATTTTGGGTTCAAATTCTACTTATCTCCTCGTGAGCAATTGAGTAGCAATTCTTCTAGCTTCAGTTTCTGCCTCTGTAAACTAGGAGCAATGATGTGAAAGGCGGGAATGGTGCTCACATCTATAATCTAAGCGCTTCTGGGGTTGGGGAAGGACTACAGTGAGTGCAAAGCCAGCCTAGTTACCTAGTTACCTAGTTCTAGGCCAGCCTGGGTCATGGACTAAGGACTGTCTTTCAAGACCGAAGTAAGGCCAGTAAAGTAAGGCTCAACTGGTAGAGTGTTTGCCTGTCAGTCACGAAGCCCTACACTCACTTCTCCTCAGCACTAGATAAATCAGGCCTGATGTTACATGTAGGCCTGTAATCTGAGCAGTCAGGAGGCAGAGCCAGGAAGAGCAGGAATATGAGGTCATATTGGGCTATGCAGGGAGTTTCAGGTGAGCCTGGGCTACACAAGACCCAGTATAAATAAATAATAAATAAATTATTATGAAGGTGGAATAAGAAAATGCAAAGAAACTTCTGTGCACATCCAAGTACTCCTGGGACAGTGGCAGTGATCCTCGCCACCATTATCACCATCGTCATTGCCGTAGTGATGATGAGGGTAAGGATGACGGGGAAGACGGTTAAGGTTCTCATGTTCTTTGTCTACTGGTGTTGTTATGCTGGTACTCTGGGAGTAGAAGTAATGCCTTTTCTTCCTCTAGACACCTCCAAAGGATGGATTCATGATTGCTGATGTTCAGCCAGTTTCTGGCAGTTCTCCAGAAGAAAAGCAGTCCCCTTCCTTAGCTTTGCGGTCCTCCTCCTCTTTAAGAAAGAAGAATAACCCAGGGGAGAAAGAGCTTCCACCATGGCGGTCGTCAGATAAGCACCCCACTGACATCATCCGCTTTAACTACCTAGACAACTGTGACCCTGAGCACCTCTGGAAAGGGTGAGAAGTTCCGTGCCCCTCTCAGCCTATCTGTTTCAATAGGTGGATGCGGACTAACTATTCTTAACAAGTTTGACCTCTTCACCGTCATCTGCTCCTTACAGCAACGAGTCAACGGTACAACCCACTTAACTTTTTAAACACCGTGACTACTGCGTGTGTGTGCATGTCACGACACGTGTGCGTGGGGGTCAGAGAACAACTTTTAGGAGTTGATTGTCTCCGTCCACCCTGGGTTTAGAGGATCAAGCTCAGATCATCAGGTGTTACATGCGTAGCAAGGGCTGCTACCCGCTGAGCCATCTGGCCGGCCCATTGCTTAGTGTTTATCCATTTAAATGTTTTATTTCATTACTTATTTATGTGTATATGTTGTGTGTGCATGTGTGTGTTGGGAGCGGGGTGGCTGTCTGGCCTTTGAACTGGCGTTACAAGTGGTTGCTGAGTGCTGTCCAGTCTGGATACTGGGAACTGAACTCACGTCCTGTGAAAGAGCGGGAAGAACTCTTAACTGATAAGCCATCTCTCCAGCCCCAGCTATCTTTTAATATTTTCTTCTTTTATTTTATTTTTCCAGGACAGGGTTTCTCTGTGTAGGACTCACTTTGTAGACCAAGTTGGCCTCAAACTCACAGAGATCCGCCTGCCTCTGCCTCCCTGTCTTTTAATATTTTAATATCAATTTCAAGCCAGCACTATGTGGTACATTCTAGCTTTTTTTTTTTTCTTTTCCTTTTTTAATATTTTCTCCCTTTACTAGTGAGTAGGAAAACAAAGGAGGAAGGGACAGTGATCCTCCCATGGAGAGCATAAGGTAGTAAGAGAGCTACTGACTTTTCTGTTGAGCTCATGGCCAGGGAAACAAAGCTAAGTAGGGATGGACTTGTCAAAGGTCAAACCAAACTCAAGGTAGCGAGCTAGTTAATGAGACCCTGTCTCAAAAGGAAAAATGATAGCTGAAATATTGGTGATACATACCGGCGATCTTAGCACTGAGAAGACTGAGGCAGGAGCACAGCACATTCAAGGACAGCCTGGTGTACATGGAGCTATCTTGTCTCAAAAACAAAAAAATCGGACCAATAAGTGTTCTATAATAAAGAAAAAATTAAGGTATATAGAGTAAATATCATCAGTTATTGAAATGAGATGGAGAGAGTATGGTTCATTACTGTGCCGTTTAATCTCTCGATTTTCCTGCCTTCTAGAGGCTGGTTTGTTTGTGGTGATAGAGTCTCCTTTTGTAGCCCAGGCTTGTCTTGAACCTGTGCTCCTCCTGCCTGGCTCTCCTGTGTATTTGAAATTTCTCTACATTGAATTATAATTATAATTTGGTGGCTCCCTATCAATTTATAATTTGGTGGCTGCTCATTTTTCCTACAGGTGGCCAATCTGGATAGTGTGACAAAGTCAGCCAGACAAAGCTAATTTAAGGCAGGTTAGCCATTGTCTGGAAGTTACCTTCTAGTCCTGCCCTTGAAATCAAGAGACTGGGGGACGAGGCTGGGCACGCAGGGTCCACAGTGTGTAGCTAGCTCTCCTTGGGGCACGCAGGGGATTGCAAGCATACCAGAAATGGGAAGACAAGCCAGGTGGACACCTGACAGAGAGGAAGGCAAACATTAAAAATTAGCAAGAAATTGGATTTGTTTGTTGTTTTTTTGCTTGTTTTCTTGTTTCATTTTTTGAGGCAAAGCCCCATGCTGTGCCCTGAATAGGCTGTTCTTGAACTCACCATGTAGAGCAGGCTGGTCTCAAACTCGACACAGTTATCTTGTTTTGCACCCCCGCCCCCTCCCAGTGCTGGAGTTACAGGTGTGAGGTACCAGGCCCTGCTGAAAATTTGGAACTTAAAAGTTCTCAGGGTGCCAAAATAGCATTACAAAAATTACACACTAATTGGGAGGATTAAAAAAATGTATCAACACAGCTGAGAGAGCCAACAGTCAGCTCATTAGTTATGTGATCAACGTTATCATCACTAATAGCCAGAAACTCCTGATCATCAACTGTCCTGATAGATTACAAGACTAAATACAAACCTTCTTGCCCAAAGTCTTTGATTGGAAACTAATCGTGTCTCTAGGGGAACTGTCTATTTTTGTAAAGTGTAAGTAACAAAGAAACAAATAAAAGATACTATAAGGAAACAGTGAAGGGAAGCCAGCTGTACTAAATTTGCTGGGATGTCTTAGATTCCGACTTCCTAAAATAAATCTGGGTACTGAGGGGAGGAGAGAGGGGAGGAAGTAGGGTCCTATGACCAAATGTAGACTGAATCTGGAAGCTATTGGGAGAGGGAGAGAAGAGGGAGGGAGAGAGGGAGGGAAGGAAAAAAGAAGCATCAAAAAGTATTCTTAGAACAACTGTATCTGGCTTGTGTATTAAATGATATTAAATAATGTTTATTTCCTAAGACATATTGGTGCTAGTGTGACTGGGCAGACAAGTGTCTTCATCTTAGGAGAGGAGTGTTGAAGTATTAAGCTGGGTGTGTCTTTTCGGTAACTAAGCAAAGAACTAGCGCCACCATAAAACCCAATCATGCACCTGTGAAGGTGTGAAGTGAAGCCCAGAACCGCCAAGGGCCGTTAATATCTTCTTACAGCTCAGATCCCTGCCCGAGTCTTCTAGCTCTTCTGCTTGAGACTCCACAAGTAAAACTTGGGAGATGTCTGGAAAATGACGTGGCAAGTAATATTTGGGCAGACACATTCTTTCTAAATAAAAAGCTTCTTATGGCAGATATTCAAATAGATGATTCAGATGGATAGATAGATAGATAGATAGATAGATAGATAGATAGATAGATAGATAGATAGATAGATGGATGACAGAAAAGCAAAATTAACCCTTTGTGGCTATTATCAGTTGTTAACAGTTTTTAACCCATAGCCAATCTTGAGTCATTATTTCTTACCTGTTCTTCCCCTCCCCTATATGATGATGCTGCTATGATTAAAACAGGGTCTTACTCTGTAGCCCAAGCTAGCTTCAAATTCCCAATCCTCATGCCTCAACCTTCCCAATGTGGAGACCACAAACATTCATCATGGTCTGGATCCCCTACATAGTTATTTTTATTATATTTAAAAAATAATTTATTTCATTTTTTTTCTCTGTGCATTGGTAGGAAAGTATCAGAATCTGTGGAACTAGAGTTGTGAGCTGTCATGTGGGTGCTGGAAATTGAACCCAGATCCTTTGGAAGAGCAGACAGTGCTCTTAACCACAGAGCCATCTCTCCAGCCCTATTAATTATTTTTGTTTGGTCTTTTTTCAAGACAGGGTTTTGCTATGTAGCCCTGGCTGTCCTGGAACTCACTCTGTAGCCCAGGCTGGCCTTGAACTCACAGAAATCTGCCTTCGTCTGCTTCCCAAGTGTTGGGATTAAAGGTGTGCACCACCACTGCCAGCTTCTAAATTACTTTTAAAAAATAATGTCATATCATTTCACATCTGACTTACTTCATGTCATATACTTCAACCTGTATTCTGAAAAGGTAAGGACCCTTTATAAAGTCATAAGCTGACAACCATCTACCTGTAACTCAACGAGTAACTTAATACAACGACAGATCATTAGTGTTCCGGGTCCTTTGACTGTCACACAGATGCTTGTCTGTTTATGAATGCTTTGTTTAATCAGGTTCCAGATAAGGTCTAAAGTACATGCCGTATTTGCCTCAGGTGTCCCTTCCTGTTCTGAACTGTGAGTTAACCTTCTGGTCGACCTCCACCTCTTCTGTTGTTCTTCGCCCTCCTTCTTACCTCACCCGCCTCTGCCTCTTGCAATTTGTTGTAGAGATCGGGCATGTGTCATGCTTCTCACATTCTGGACTCTGTGGAGCGCCCCTACCAATGTGCATCTTCTCGTGTCCCCTGTCCTCTGTCCCTGGCCACGCTGACAGTCAGAACTAGAGGCTCTAGAATATGTGAACAAAGACATGCACCTCCATTTCTGGTTCTTTCTGTGTTGTTGGTAACCATGGAAGCTCATTACCTAATGCACTCTTTTAGACGAAGTTATTATAAAGGACCAGATGGGAGATATTTTGGACTTTGTAAGACATGAGCTTTGTGGTACAGCTGCTCAGCTCTGATAGCATAGTCTGAAAAATAGCCTAGACAATAGACACACATACAAATCACTGTTTTCTGATACAGTTTTATTAACCAAAGTAGGCGGCAGGCGGGACTTTCCTGTGGGCTGAGGATTGATGGCCTCTGCCTTCTCTTATAGGTCTTTACTTTTATCTTTGGGAGATACCCTGCTAAAGAATATTCAGATAGGCTGGGCATGCTGGTGCATATCTTTAATCCCAATACTCAGAGGCAGAGCCATAGAGAGAGGCAAATGGATTCCTGTGAGTTTGAAGCCAGCCTGGTCTACATAGTGAGTCCCAGGCCAGCCAGGACTACATAAATAGACCCTGTAAAGAACAGACAAAGACTATTCAGACATATAATGGTGTTAAAGGCAAGAGAAAAAACTGTACTGCATGTAGCAGTACCACCAACTTTACGGTGAAGATCGAACTTGTTTCATTTTGCATTTTATTATTTCTCCTCTTTCTCACACTCATACTCTGGAGAACATTCTAGATGGTTCCAAAGTCAAGTATACAAAAGAAGATTATGTTTTTGGGAGTCAAGCTTTTGCCCCTAAGTCTCCCAATTGTTTCTGGTGGATTCATATGGGAATCTTACCTGCTGATAATGATTTCTCAAATTTTTGTATAATTCTCCCTTTTTAAAAAAGTTCAAGGAGTCGAATAGGGTGGTGCATGCCTGTGACCCCAAAGCTTAAGAGGCAGAGGCAGGATGAACAGCAGGAGTTTTAGGGCAGCCTGGTCTACACTGCAAGTTTCAGGAGCAGCCAGTAAGGGTTATAGGTAAGACCCTGCCTCAGAAATAAATAAATAGGGCTGGAGAGATGGCTCAGTGGTTAAGAGTACACGCGGTTCTTCCAAAGGCCCTGGGTTCAGTTCCCAGCACCCACATGGCAGCTCACAGCTGTCTGATGCTGTCTTCTGGTGTGCGGATGCAGACAAAGTATCCATACACATAAAATAAATACAAAAGTAAATAAATAGTGCAAACAAAAGTAATAATAAGATTTAACAAACAGAAAGTACAGGGGTGGGCTAGAGGGATGGCTCAGCAGTTAAGAGCACTGACTGCTCCTTCTGAGGTCCTCAGTTCAAATCCTAGCACCCACATGGTGGCTCACAGCATCAATAACTATGCTTCCATTAGATCCAATACCCTCTTCCTCTGTGCAAATGTACATGCAGACAAAACACCTATGTACATAAATAAATCTTTAAAAAAATAGGAAGTACGGGGTCTACTGCTTTTGCAGAAGACCTGAGTTTAGTTCCTAGCACCCCCACATGGCAGCTCATAACTGCCTGTAACTCTAGTTCCAGGGGATCTGACACTGTCTTCTGGCCTCCAGAGGCACTGCTCATATATACGTGTAGGCAGAACGCTCGAGCACGTAAAATAAAAATAATGTTTTTGAAAGTTCTAGCCAACAGTAGACATGTTATGTTTTAGAAGTCTCCCTAGACGAATGGCAGCATACGGTATGTCCGCCTTTCCTCTCCTGATTTCCTTTTTCATGTGTCATTGTATCCTGAGGCTCACTCTGCAGTTGTCTATAGAAATACTCTGCCTTCCTTTTTACAGCTCATAGCTTTCCATTGTGTTCCTATGCCAGGGTTAATTGAACCAGCAATCTGTAGACAGACATTTGATTTATTTCCAGTGGTGTGCAGGCGGTCTTTAAATCACCGCACCCACAAAAGTCAAAAAATGAAAAATAACTATGTGAACTGCCAAAGACTTAAAGTGATCAGTTATAATGTTCCCATTGCTTTGCAATTTTGCAGAAGAAGAAAAAGAAACGAAATGAACCCAGACTTCAAGCGGCAGTTGCGAGATAAGAAAAATCAGCTTCAGGGTAGAGCCAGGCTCAGGAAAGCACGGTCCCTGGTAAGTCTGCTTGCAAAACACTCCTCCTGTAATCAGGAAATTACCCTGATCCCTAATCCCATTTGTGAAATTGAATTTGTTTGCTAAATCAGAATCACCAAGTGGTTGTTTAAACCTTGTTCTCTGGGGTTGGAGATGCTGCTCAGTTGCTGGAGCAATTGCCAGCATACACAAAGTCCTGGCTTCCCTCCCCATCGCAGCAAACACCTCACAGTGGCACGCACCCATAATCTCAGCTCTTGGGAGATAGAGGCAGAAGGAGTAGAAGTTTCAGGTCATCTTTGGCTACCCAGCAAGCTCAAAGCCAGCCTGGGCTCAAAAAGAAATGGATAGAAGTGATTCCAAAATGACTGAATTAATTTTTTTTTCTGTCTCCAGTTAAAAAGCAGTTAATCAGCAATGCAATAATGTCAGTAACTGTGAGTAGGGAGCACAATTAATTTGTAGCAGACTTTCCCAAATTGTGATTTGGACCACAAGGGACCCCCTTTTATCACATTATGAGAGGTTTTGGAGTAAAGTAAGGATGAATACTAGTGGAATTAAAAGTGCATGTAATGTAACAAGAATTGAGAGAAAGGCTGAGGACACACTCCGGGGAAAATTAATAGAGAATGGATATCAATTGACGGGATAATCCGCACCCCACTTGGGAGTAAATCTTTTTCATAGCTCTGCTTGAGAACCTGCTCCTTTCTGCTGAAATGCATTTTCAAGGGTTATGTTAAGGGAGAGAGGGACTGAGAGATGAGCTTCTTAAAATAGACCTGCGGGTGTGCTGCAGACCAGTTCTGCTGCTCTCAGGGAGGTTCCTGTAGACACTTGCTGGCTGTGAAGCTTGAACCAAAGCAGTAACGCTGTCCACAAATCTGCTGCTTGCTAACAAAACAAACAAACCACAGCCAGTACGAGCCTCACCACGCAGGCCAATATGAGCTATTCTGCCTTGTTTCCATCAGAAGCTGGGTCAGATGTAGTGGCCTGCTCAATTCCAGCACTCAGCCAGCCTGAGTCTGAGACTGGACTCAAAATACCAGAGAGACAGGGATAGAGGGAGGGGATGAGAAGAGGGAGAGAAAGAAACACACACAGAGAGAGTGACTATGAATCTATAGATAGTAAGAGTTGGTGGCCATGTATGCTTTAAAAAAAAAATCAATGAAATTGAATGTTTCTCTTACTTAAAAAGCACAAAAATCTGCGGCTTTGACATTAGCCATCTATCAAAGATTTGTTAAAGTATTTGTTAGAATTCAATAGTGGAGGGTGGAAATGTAACTCAGCTGGTTGCAGTGTTTACCTGGCATGCATGAGGTCGTGGTTCATTCCCCAGCACTGCACAACCTGGTTATGGCGGCTCACACCTGTAAACCCTGCACTGGGGAGGTGGAGGCAGGAGGATCAGAACTTCAAGGTTATCCTTGGCTACATAGCAAGTTCAAGGCCAGTCTGAGCTATGTGAGACCCTATGCCCCATCCACTAATGAAGAAGACATTAAAAAGCGGCTGTGGATACCTTTAATCCCAGCACTCAAGAGGCAGAGGTCGGATGAATCTCTGTAAGTTTGAGGCCAGTCTGGTCTACAAAGTGAGTTCCAGACTAGCCAGAACTAGCTATAAGACATTGCCTTAAAAGCATAGGTAAATAAATACATAAATAGCCATGAAGAAATTGTGCTAATTAGGGCTAAGAGGGAAACCCAGATGAATTAATGATAGAGAACAATTAGCTGTTACTAAATATGTGATTATTATATCTACTTGTTTTGGCTCTGTAAGTGTACTAATTACTATATACATTTGGTAGTTCTGATAAAGAACATGAAGTATAATTCGCCAACCCCCCCCCCCCCCCCCCAGAACAATGTTGCAGTCTTTGACTCATGCCTGTGATATGCTGGCCTGTGACAAGCCTGGCTGTTGAGGCTGCAAAATGATGGTTTGGGACCCCTCTCTATAGAGTGGCAGTTTGCCCTCACTGTAGGCTCCATCCAGGCGGGTGATACAGGACCCCTGTGATAGTGAAAAGATGCCGTGGGGAGCCTGCAGAGGGGAGAAAGTGGTCACTGGTGATGGTATCCCTCCTAAGGAGCAGGACACTGACACATGGGAACACATCCCAAGTGATTCCAAAGAAGAACTTTCAACAGGTTTGTGGGGGAAGGGAAATGTATGTGTGTGGGGGCCAGCTGGTGCTAACAGCACAGATGAACGTGGTATGCCTCCATCAACTAACCAGAGGACTACAGTAATTTGGGACTTGTTCCTGTCCTGTGGGAGGCGGATGTGTGGTAGTTGGAGAAGGTAAGGTGTTGTTAAATGGGAAGGTGTGGGGAGAAGGAAGCGCACAAGAACTACGGAAGAATACAAGGAGCACTCTGTAGCCTGCTCTAGGGTCCTCGCTGCAGCTGGGGAGCCTCGCTTCTCTTCTGCCTGTCACTCCTCGGAGCGAGCTGAGATGGGGCTCTGTCTAAAGAGAAACATCCCCGGGGCACCAGCTTCTAATTTTCACACGGAGCCCTGTGAGCTTGCCCAATTCCTGCTTAACAGGTATGGTTTGGAAGTCGGCTTTCTCTGTGAGGTCCCCAGGGGCTGCCTGAGATGTAGCCGATTCTCTAACATCTGTTAGAGGATGGGAATCAAGCTTAGATCTGATTGGGGATGCTTCAAAATTTCCAAGGCTTCCTGGGAAGTTTTCATACATATGAAGAAATCTGCATCACTATTAGTCATGACGGTATTCCACAACAAACAGAACAAGGGAGAAGCACAAACACCACAATGCCCACGTCCTCTTTAAACGTCAAAGCTTTGTTTTTTTTTTAAAGTCTGGTATAAACACACACACACACACACACACACACACACACACACACACACACACTCCATTTTTTCCCCACATCTTGATAGTTGGCCTCCAAAAGCCATTTAGGGATGGAGGGAGTTGTTTCCTCTGCAGAGAGAAGTTGGTAAGTTTGTAGAGAGGAATGGTACTCCAGGGCCATGGTTGTAACAGACACCAAGATGCAGAGGAGGGATAACCCAAGCCTATACAGTACTTGAGATCAGGGAAAGAAGCTGTGGTTTGTTACTTCTGTCTGGGGAAGGGAAGGGAAAGGGGAGAGAGGAAGGGAGGGGAAGAAAGGGGAGAGGAAGGAAAGGAAGGATGAGGCCAGGGAATAAAAAGGTGAGAGGGGGAAGAGAGGGAAGTTGAGAAGGGTCAAGGTTGACCCCTCATCCCATTTAAAGTACGTATGTTTGCTAGTATTGGGGTATGAACCTCCTTCCATCTCTATGTTCAGAGATATGTACAGAAGGAGAGAGAGATTTTATTTATTTTCATCAGTTTGTGTGTTTTGCCTGCATGTATGTTGCTGCTCCATATTGTGCAGTGCCCACAGAGGCCAGAAGGAGGTGTCACACCGTCTGGAACTGGAGTTGCAGGTGGTTGTCAACTGTTCCGTGGAGCTGGGACTCTGGGTCCTGGGTTCTGGAAGAGCAGCCAGCGCTCTTAACCACTGGCCATCTCTCTATCTGTGCCCCTGTGCCCCTGTGCCCCTGTGCCCCTGTGCCCCTGTGCCCCTGTGCCTGGCCACCAAACCACCAGCTGACATCTCATTTTGATCTTTCCTTTCCATCAGGTTAAGTATAAAATACGCACCTTCGTCTCCATCGGACTTTTCCTTGGAAGTTAGTCCTTGCTTTCCAGGCCTTGTCTGGGCTGGGGATTTCAGAAATCTGTTGAGCCTTTAATTACCTGCTTATACTCTCTAATTGCCTTAGATAAGACCCGAAGCTAATTCCAGCCTCCAGAAGGCAATTACGTTCTTCACCTCTTTTCAGGATCACTTTACTCTTAGTATCCTGTCTTTTTCTTTTCTTTAATGTTTCTTTTTGCCTTGCTAAATCAAATAGGAGGAAAGAAAAAAAATGTATGCCAAGTGATTCTGGGATGGTGTGGCAGAAAGAATGGAAGAAGCCAGGGTTCAGTTCGGTTTCAATTCTAATAGTCAATCTTTTAGAGTTTCTTCTGTTTTCCTGTGTATGAAATGAGAATTTGAATGACAGCATTGTTAAAGAGTATACTAGGCAGGGGGATAGGGAAATAATTCATTGATCAAATGCTTGTCATGCAAGAATGGAGCCCTCAATTCAATCCCTGGAACCCATAGGGCTGAGAGGGGGTGGGATGAGCTAGGACTGGGGGCGTGTACTTGCTATCCTTATAGGCAAAGATGAAGGGCTGCCCGAAGTTCACTGACCAGCCAGCCTAGCCTGATTGCTAAGCCCTCTGCAGGTGGAGACCCTGTGTCAAGAACAAGGTAGATTACACCTGAGGAGCCATGCCAGAGGTTATCTGGCCCTCAGCTGCAAATGCACACACTTGCATAAGCACAGTCCAGGTGAAATCCTGACTCGGCAGGCTCCCCTGGGCTTCTCCTGGATGTGTTCATGCCTCTCTTTCCCCTTTTCTGGAGGCCACAACTGTGATTAAAGTGACATTAAATACAATACCAAAGATTCCATTTATGAATCCAAAGTTTAAGCCAGTAATTCTTGTTTACTCTCTCATTGTCTTCTTTGAACTTTGGAAAATATGATTCACTAAGACTGAAGAAGTTACAAAAGAGAACTTAAAGTGGTTTCCTTGCTAACTGTCTTCAATAACTGCTTTCAAATTCCAGCAGACTCTCCCAGTTTGTTCTATAGCATCTATTTGGTTTGGATGTGCAAAGCTACACATTTCCACAGGAGAGATTTTAAGTAATTTCATTCCACCAAGGAAACATCTGGGGATTTCATTTGGAAAGAAATAGAAAGAATGTGGCTATACATGGAGATGAAATTGGGTTCTTTTGCTAAGTGGCATGACTGTGGGTGAGTTAGTCTCTCTAAACCTCATTTTCTCCATCTGTAAAATGGGATATGCTGTTTATCTCACAGGGTTGGTGTTAGCTCATAAATATAAAGTAGAAATCAAGAGCCATATTAGTTTCTTT